AATAGAAAGGTTAAATAGATACTGGATTTCCACATAGGCAACTTCAAATTAACACTTTATCTGGGCTGTTTAAGATAAAGGTACTAGACCAAAAAATAACATGCTGTCTGCCTGACCTTTTGCTTACGGCTGTGGGAAGAGCAGGGTGGGGGGCTGGTAAGTGGAGAGGTAATAGAGTTTGTGAGAGAGTATTTTGTTTGGCTATAGACAAAGGCTGGGGATATGTGGACCAAGAGGGTTGAATATACTCTGAAAGATAGGCAGGAGTCCATAACAGGGGAGCAGGGGTAGGTGGGTAAGTTTTTGGTGGGTACTTGAATTTTAAAAACAAATTCATGAGACAATATTGCTAGGATCAAAAGCCAAAAAATCAAACTGACCAGAGTGAGAAGTAGCCGGGGTCCTAGCCAGCTGTGCTGCCATGTGGATGACTGGACTTTATTTTCAGGTTCGTTTAACAGTCCACGTTACTTATTATACAGATGGTGCCAAAAAAATGTATATACAATTTAAGAAAGGAAAAAACTATTAAAATTGTAATAATATATATCGATAACAAAAGATGAATACAAGTCACATTTGACTTCTGCAATTACAAGAGGTGTTCAAAGTGGTTACCATCAGCGTCCAGACACTTCTGATTACGGCAAACATTGTTAGGTAGGTTTCTGTGGCGAGCATGTAAAGTGTTCCAACACCATAGCAGAAGAAGCAGGACATGTTGCTGTGCGAGGCCTCCCGGATCTTCCTTTGTGCACATCACACACAGTACCATGCGTCTAAAACTTATCACGAATGCATGCAGTTGTTGGAGATTCTGTTGCATACTCATGCCTCCATTGTCGTTGTACTGCCACAACGTTCTTGAATTTCAAGTACTACTTCAAAATTGTCTTGTGCTCCTCGAATGACAATTCTGCTTCTGCCATTTTCTTTGACTATCCTGCCTGTCACGTGGTGATGCTAGCATTCATTTGATTAATGCCACCTTTTGAGCAAATGCCATACTATACATTGCTACCGCAATTCAACTTTGAAAAGTAATGCATACATAACATCGCTTAAAATGTGTATACATTTTTTTGGCATCCCTGATATTTGTAAGACAGGAAATGCTTTCATTCAACCTTACTAAAAAAATACCCCATGAAAATATAATCATCTATATCTTCTCTTAGGTATACATTCATATTTGTTTACTATAAGCATGTGCCTACTACTTTGAGTTCGTTCCGTAGTTTTTTTTTTCCATTTAATATTATCATCTATTCCATTTCCAACATTATCTATTTCCTTACAATATGTATTTGTTTTCTAGGGCTGCTGTAATGAATGACCATAAACTGCATGGTTTAAAACAACAGAAATTTATTCTCTTACAGCTCTGGAGGTCAGAAGTCCAAGGTCAAGGTGTCTCGGTCTGAAAGCTCTGGGAGAGAATCCTTCCTTGCATCCTCCAGCTTCTGGTGGCTCTAGGTGGTCCTTGGCTTGCAGCACCATAATTCCACTCTCTGCCTCCATCTTCACTTGGCCTTTTCTGTGTCTTCTTTTTTGTCTCTTAGTAGGGCACTTGTCTTTGTTTTAGGACCCACCCTTGTCACGTCCAGCGTGGCAAGGGCAAATGGGACACAAGAGGGGCGGCACAGATTTGAATAAGAACAAGAGACAGAAGTAAGATTTAAGAGTGAGACCAAGGGACTCAGCCTTCAGAGATAGACTGAGCCACCGAATCGGGTCAATGCATGGTTTTTATTGATTCTTTTCAAGGAAGTAAACTGCTGTGCTGTGAGTCATTAACCGTGTATTCTGGNTCATTAACCGTGTATTCTGGTGCGCCTTAAGGCCTTTTCCAATGACCTTTTCCCAGTGTACTCCAGCAAATGCTATGCCTTCGTACTCCACCACATTGCCCCAAGACATAATTACATGTCCTCCCAGGGGAGACAGCTGATATCATTCCACCAGGTCCCAGTCAGGCCGAGACGCCCCCCTAGAGAGCTTTACAGATATCATTCCATCTGGCCTCAGTTTTCCTAGACACTCTCTCGACTAATGGGTCAGAGGCTAATGCAGGGGGGGTGGTCTAAGAATCCACTGTAAGGCGACACACCCTAATCAAGGGTGATCTCATCTTGAGACCCTTAAATACATCTGCGAAGACTCTTATTCTACATAAGGTGACAGGGTGAGGTTCTGAGTGGACATATCTTTTGGGGACCGTATTCAACCCACTACTCCTTTTTAATAGCTATGCAGTATTCCTTCCTATCAATACATCTGATTCACTTCTTTCCAACTTTTTGCTAATATGAGTAACAGTTCCAAACAGATCATATGTGAAAATGCTGTGAAAGTGTGCTATTATTTTCCTTGTGGGTATTTTCTTGGGATAGTTTTCCAAAGTGGATTTATAGCATCAATGGTGAGAACAGTTTTCTAGCTCTTTGGACATCCTGCCAGGGTGTGGTCCAGAAAGACTGGATCACTTTGCAATACCCATGGCAATATGTGAAATAACTGAAGGAGAGGGGAAGGGAGAGAATATGAATGAATTCAGCCAATTGTTTCAGTGTCTGAGGGGAGGGAAATATACAAGTGAAGAATTAATTACCTGTGAAATACCAAGGCCTCAGAGACCAGACTGTCTTATCTTTCCTATGGTGCCACTCTATCCCACACAGATCTTTTGGTGATATATCACATATATCACAGATATGTGATATACATATTACTATATATATTTAATATAAGTACAATAAATGACTATTTATCATAAGGAATTGACTCATGTAATTATGGAGGCTGAGAAGCCCTGAGATCTGGAGTCAGCAAGCTGGAGACCCAGGAGAGCTGATGGTATAAATTCTAGTCCAAGGTCAGAAGAAGACTGATCCCAGATCAACAGTCAGGTGGCCCTTCCCTCTCACACAGCCTTTTTGTTCTATTTAAGTCTTAAATTGATTGGATGAAGCCCGCCCACATTGGGGAGGGTAATCTGCTTTACTCAGCCTACTGATTCCAATGTTAAAATCATTCAGAACACCCTACAGACACACCCAGAATAATGTTTGACCAAATGTCTGGGCATCCCGTGACCCAGTAAAGTTGACATTTAAAATTAACCATTAGAGGAACTAAAAAAGTATGTCTTTCCTTGTTTCCAAACTTCTACTCAGGGAGAAAGGCATAGGATGGAGGTGGCATGGGGGAAGTTACCGATGAGATCTGGGTGGCCACAAGTCAAATAATCATAAGGCAGAGGACTTAAAAATCAAAAAGAAGTAAACACTTTTTTTTAATTCCAAAGACTTTAAGGCCTGTGCCTTAGTCTGCTCTGACTGCCATAACAAAATACTACAGAAATTAATTTTCTCACAGTTCTGGAGGCTGGAAGTCCAAGATTAAGGTCTAGAAGGTCAGCTTCTGGTGAAACCTCTTTTCTGGCTTGTAGATGGCTGCCTTCTTTCTGTGTCCTCACATGGCCTTCCTCTGTGCATGTGTATTCCTTGTGTCTCTTCCTCTTATAAGGACACCAGACCTATTGGTTTAGGGTCACATTCTCATGACCTCATTTAACCTTAATGACCTCCCTAAAGGCCCCATCTCCAAATATAAGTCACATTGGAGGTTAGGGCTTCAACATACGAGTGGAGGTGGGGTGGGGCACAATTCAGTCCATAACTACCCTTTTTTTTTAAATCTCACTAGAATCTCAAGACGTTATATCCAGCATATATGTTGTAGTGATGACTACCTCTACCCCACAAAGGGAAAGATGATGAGGTTCAAAGGGCATCATTGAAATCAAAGGCAATTGAATACCACCCTAATCCCTAGCATTGTCATGATCATTTTTATCCCAAGACATTAAGAACCTGTTCATAACATATTTGCTGGTTCACAAAGAGAACTGGAAAAGCCAATTTGTTCAGCAGTGTTTACTGAGCACCTCTTGACTGGCTATTGTGATGGGGAGAGCACAAAGCTGAACATCACAACCCCACCCTTCAAGGTGTTTCAATTCTGTAGGGATGTTCAAACATGCACACACACACCTCTAGAATCCAAAGTAGAAAGTGATAAATGGGAGAAGTAATAGAATATGCTATGGGAGTTTGGAAGAGCAATAAATATACTGTTAATAGTCATTATACTTTACAGACCATTTATGACCTGCTTGGCAGTTAGCTTATCCAGGGTTATCAATTTTCAGGATCTTACATTATAAGACATGAAAATGCAACTCACGATTTACTAAGTATTATATGTATTAATGTGTAAAGCATTGTGTTTGGTACTCTTTCAGGTGCAAAGATGATTAAGACATGTTGTCCCGTCTTCTAGAAACTCATACTATAAATAGAAAAATATACAAATGGGTGGTCAGCAGGACAGATTGCTACAAAAATAAATTTAAAATGTTTTTTCTCATTCTCTACTGGCCAGAGATAGGCAACTCTTTGGAAAGGCAGGGATGGTAAATCTGTATCTGCTTGGGGACTTGGAGAGTCACCATGTTTGGTCAGAGCAGCTCTGTGTGGTAGTATCTTGAAGAAAAACCATGAATTTCCCCGGAGTAACCTGGTGGTTGGTGGTCAGGTGCCTGAGGAAAGTGGGAGAGAAGACAGAAGCTGAGTCACCCGTTTCAGCACCCATTGGCCCCTGGTGGGGAATTTTGCAGTGAGGCCAAGCACTGATAATCACCAGCCCAACACCAAACTGAGGGGAGGAGAGGGAAAGTGGAGTAGGTTTAATACAGTGGCCAGAATCTCAAGTGTGAAGAGAGGGCCTCTTACCCAGGCTAGACCCAGTTCCACCCACCCCCCTCCAACTAGAGGGAGAATAGGAGAAATCCCTTGCCCTTCAGCGTCACTGGTGGCCACCAGGGGAGGTTCTATTACTGGGCAAAGAGGCCCCTGGAACCCGGATATCATTCTGAACTCTGAGTGTAAAAGTAGGAAGAGGAAGTGATGATAAATGGATCAAGAAAGAGATTTGAAAACAATGGTGGAGGGGTGATGTGCACTGATAGTGTAGTAGAAATCGGAACAGCTTAAGTATTGAGCAGCTGGTGTGTGCTGGGAGCTTTATGTGTATTATCGCATTTAACTCTCCAGCGATCGGGTGGGTCTTGATGCGGGTAGAAACAGGTTTCCAGAGCAGAGGCTCATCAACTTGCTCAAGTCCTCGCTGAGCAGCAGCAGCAGCAGAGCTGAACATGGAGCCTGCGCCCCACCAGGAAGCCTTGCACGACCGGGACCGGTCCTGCACTCGCCTGGGTAGAGAGCAGCTGCAGTCAACTAAACCCCAGCCAGGTGCCTTTCCTGCCTGAGGAACGATGAACATTTTGTCTTACAGCATTTTCACATTTCTTTCCCAAGAAGCTGGAATACTAGCCTGTCTTACAGAGTGGAGGAGTGCGCTTTGGTAACAGAAAGACTCCCCGACCCAGCCGCGGGGAACCCAACTGCGCAGTTCCCACGCGCTGGCAACCACAATTCTCAGGCCCGGAGATCTGAGCCGCTGGGCGGGGCGGGTGTGTGTGTGTGTGTGTGTGGGGGAGCAATTGTGACCTACCGGGCCCCTCCCCTCCCCGGGCACTGTGATGCTGCCGGGCAGCTGCTGGCCCAGCATGTCTGTCCCCAGGCCCCTCCCGCCCAGTGTGTCACAACAGCGGAGGCGGCTGTATCTGGAGCAGTTGGGGTGGGCAGGCCCGGCTCGGAGGCGAGCGGGCGAAGAGAGCGGCCGCGATGGTGAGTGAGCCTGCCAGGGCCTTGGGGCTGGGCATGGGTAAGGGTCGGGGAGGGGGTGGGCGCCAAGCGGAGAGCCGCGTCTACCTGGGGGCTAACAGACCCATAACTTTGGATCTCCAGTGCCTGAAGTCTCTTGGGGGTGTCAATTCAGGGTTGGGGTGGGGGATCAGCACCCTCGGGCGGAGGACACCTGGTGGCAGTACATTTTATCGTGGAGGGAAAGTGAAGATCTGGGGCAGGTTGCCCCTCAAAGGTACCTAATGGAGATTTGGGCACGCGAGTGAGGGGAGGAAGGACATGGGGAGCCCAGTGCAGGAGAGGGGAGATTCTGAGGGAACCCCAGACGGGCAGCTCAGGGACCAGAAAGGGGGGAAAGGGGACAGTCCAGCGATTCCAGATGGGTGGGCCTGGCCTGCGACTGGGGGAGTGGGCTCAGTCAGGTCCCCAAACCCAACCACATGTGTCGGTGTCCCCGAATGTGACAGGGGACTTAGGGCGTCACAGTCTACCGGGCTGGAGATAGGTTTTCCTTCCCCGACCCTGGCCATCTGGCTGGGTTTGGGGCCTTTACAACTTGAGCGCGCTCAGCTTCCCAGGCACCGGGCACCCGCGCCAAGTCCCAGTTTTTCCAGCGGTCAAAGTCAGAAGGACTTTGGCACACAGAAGTCTCCCTCCGGCAGGCCAGGGGACCTCGAACTTCTCGTTTGTTTTGTTTCCTCCCCTGACTTAGTGGGCTCAGCGACGGCCCTTTTCCCCCACCGCCGTTTCTGTCTCCTTTTGCAAACATAGATCTTACTTCCCGGGGAGGAGGCCTCTCCACACTCTTAGTTCCACCTCCTACAATCCCTCCCTTCATCCCCCGCACCCCGGGGTGGGTAACTGTTGCCTCCAATCCACTTCTGTGACCGCCTGGGAACCCAGTCTCCTGGTCCAGAGCCTGGTGTTTCAGCAGTAGGGAGGTGGGTTGGAAAGGTTGGGTGGGGGAAGGGGTCAGAATAAGTATGACTCACAGGCCAAGGTCAGGTTCTCCGGGTGTCAGTGACCACGCAGGTCAGAGGAGAATCTCCCTCCTCCCCTGGCCTCTGCTCGTTGTGGAAAGTGCCCAGGGCCTCTGGCTCTGGCCCCAGCTCTGCTGTTTCTAGCTCCAGGTCTGTCCAGCACCGTCCCTCTTCCGGAGCGTGTTCCCAGCACACCTGGGAGATTTAAAGACTCGCAGGATATTCGGGAGAGTGACCAAAGGAATACACTTCTACCTGAGGCCCTTGAGTGGAACCAAAGAAGGAGCCCAGAGCCGGGAGTTCAGAATTTTGGCTCCTGGCTCTGCAGCTAGCTGTGTGACTTCAAGAAGATCACAACCTCTCTAGACTGTTTTTTTCTCACCTACAAAATGAAGAGGGGTTATGGTTCAAACTTGCATCGAGTTTATGGTTCAAGCACCATCTAGCTTTACTTTTAGACGTTTAATTATAGAGAATTTCAAACACATACAAAAGGACAGAGAATGGTATACTGACCCTGTGTATGCCTCATCCAGTTCAACAATTAATTTAAATACTTAGGATGAGTCTTGCTTTGTTTATTTTCCTTTCCTCTTCCATTATTTTGAAGCAAGTCCTAGGCAGCACACTCGAGATTACATATTTAATATTTATAATATCTAGCATTAGCTAGTGCTTTATAATTTTCAAAGTGCTTTCTTTTACATATTTTAATTTTCACATGACTGTCATAGTGACTCTCAGACTAGACCCTCAAGGAGGCTTACTGGGAGCCAAGGATCATAATTTAGCCCTTTGGGCAAACTTTGATGTGTGTTCAATAGGCAAGTTCCTGAGAATACCTGGTCAATCAGAAATTTAAACAGTAAAACCTTATTTTAAATGTGCTAAAAAATTTAGATGTGTAACTGAAAACCTATGGCTGATTATTTTGAAAAGAGAATATCTTTTATTTATTTTGAAGCATCAAAATTTTTATAGCAGGTTATATTTAGAAAACTTAATTGTATGGGCAGCATTGTCTTAATAGGATAACTTTTTAAAAAATTAGTTTCATGTGTACAAAACAATGTAATAGACATTTACACCACTCAGAAAGTGATAACATCCCTTCCCCAATCTATTACCCCTCTGACATCGTATATAGCTATTACAATTTCATGGACTCTACTCCCTAGGCTGTACTCCACATCATATGACTATATGTGTGTGTGTGTGTGTGTGTGTGTGTGTGTGTGTGTGTGTGTGTGTATATATATATATAAAATTATGGTTGGTATTCAATATTATTCAGCTTCAGGTGTACAGTGCAGTGGTCAGGCACCTACACTGTCCATGAAGTGGTCTCCCTAATAAGATAAGTGCCCATCTGACACCCTATAAAATCTTTACAATGTTATTGATTATATTCCCCAAACTGTCTTTCATATCCCAGGGCAATATTGTGGTTACCGATTTGTGCTTTCTATCCCCTCACTTTCTCCCTCATCTTCACCCCACTCCCATCTAGCAACCATCAGTTTTTTCTCTATATCTCTGAGCCTTTTTCTGTTTAGTTTTGCTCATTTATTCTGTTCTTTAGATTCCATATATAAGTGAGATCATATGGTATCTGTCTTTCTCCACCTGGCTTATTTCACTTAGCATAATATTTTCTAGGTCCATTCATATCATTGCAAATGGTAAGATTTCAATATCCAAAATTTATATAAAACTCATTCAACTCAACACCAAAAAAACAACCCAATTGAAAAATGAGCAGGGGACATGAAGAGACATTTTTCTATACAGGACATACAGATGGCCAACAGACATAAGAAAAAATGCTTAGCCTCACTGATCATTATAGAAATGCAAATAAAAACCACAATGAGATATCACCTCACTCCAGTGAGAATGGCTATCATCAATAAATCAACAAACAAGTGCTGGCGAGGATGTGGAGAAAAGGGAACCCTACTGCACTGTTGGTGAGATTGCAGATTGGTGCAGCCACTATGGAAATCAGTATGGAGGTATCTAAAAAAACTGGAAATGGAACTACCGTATGACCCAGCAATTCCACTCCTAGGTATCTATCTAGAGAAATCCAAAACGTTAATTTGAAAAAATACATGCATCCCTATGTTTATTGCAGCGCTATTTACAATAGCCAAGACTTGGAAACAACCAAAATGCCCATCGGTAGACGACTGGATTAAGAAACTGTGGTTCAGGGCCGGCCAAGTGGCGCATTGGTTAAGAGCTGGCTTGAGATGCCAGAGGGCTCCGGTTCGGATCCCAAATATAAGGGCCAGTGACACTGCCCTCTACAGCTAAGATGCTGAACAACAGCTCAACCTGGAGCTGGGCTGCCGTGAGTCGCCAGCGATGGCGTAGGCTGCAGCCCCTGCTGCAGTGGGTTTGCCATGGGCTACCGTGTGTGGCCGGCAGCCAGTGTGAGCGGCCGTCCAGAAGCTGGTGACTGATCTGCCTCGCCCGGGAAGAGCGCAATGATGGTGCCAACTTGAGCCAATGAAGCATTGTCCTCCACAACTAGACTGAAGAACAGAAGAACAGCAACTTGTCTCTTCCCCTTCCCCCAATTCCCCAGCGCTGTTCCCATCCCCCAATTCCCCAATAAAAATCTTTAAAAAAAAAAAAAAGCAATCCATTCTGCCAATCTCAATTAAAAAAAAAAAAAGAAACTGTGGTTCATTTATACAATGGAGTATTACTCGGCCATAGGATAACATTTTTTATTGACCATTTCCCACTCACAGAACCTCTTTTTTTTTTTTTAGATTTTTTTTTTAATTGGAGAATTGGGGGGATGGGAACAGACAAGTTGCTTTCCTTTTATTCTTCAGTCTAGTTGTGGAGGACGTTGCTTCACTGACCCAAGTTGGCACCATCATTGCGCTCTTCCCAGGTGAGGCAGATCAGTCGCCGGCTTCTGGACGGCCGCTCACGCTGGCTGCTGGCTACACACGATAGCCCATGGCAACCCATTGCAGCAGGGGCTGCAGCCTATGCAGTCGCCGGTGACTCCCTGCAGCCCAGCTCCAGGTTGAGCTGTTGTTCAGCATCTTAGCTGTAGAGGGCAGTGTCTCTGGCCCTCATATGTGGGATCCGAACCGGGGCCCTCTGGTGTCCCAAGCCAGTTCTTAACCATCGCACCACTCGACCGGCCCCACAGAACCTCTTTTTAAAACATCCCTGACTCGTTCCTGCAAGGCTGGAATGACACATGTATAAACTTTGACCAAAACAACCCAACCCTTGCAGAAAGAACTTTACTTCCTGTAACAGGTTAAGTTTTGGGCAGCCATCCCCCACGCTCCCATTCCCTCATGGAGGTTGGGGGGCAGAGGCTGCCTCTGTATTAAGGAGCATTGGATCCAGCATTTCTATAGGTTCTGGGTAAGAAATTTATGACTAACCCTATCACTGAGCGTTCCTGTCTGTCCTTAGTGTCCCTCTGGAAGCATTTGTTCTGGAAATGGTGAACCTGACACCCTTTTTGGGAAGTGTTACGGAGAATCCTGGCAGGTGACCCAAGCCAAGCCTGTGTCTACTATTCCAGGGTTTAGAGAAAGTGTCTGTGGTTACGGGGAGGTGAGGGCATCTACAATACAGTCTCCTTAAGTGCATTCCTTCTGGACTGGGAAGCGCCAGCTGCGTGTGGATGGGGAACATCTGCTGTGTGTTGAATGGGAATGGGCATCAAATGGCAACGAAGAACCTGTCTCATGAAACACTGGGCAGTTAGAGGACAGTTAGGGGGCAAGATGGACACTGCTTCTATGTCTGTGGCACTCTGCAAACTGCCCCTGTGTGGGCAGGCATGGCTGAGCTCTGCAGGGTCCTGACCTCAGAGCACTGTTTGGGGTCCTCAGGGGGCTCCACGTCCTTCGTCTTCACTAAGTGCAGATTCCCACAGAGGTCACTGGGTCCGTGGCTTTGAGCAGCGGAGGGGTCCTGAGGAGTAGAGCTCCCCAAGGCCGCGGCTTGGGCAAAGGC